CGAGCGCTTCGGGCTGATGCTCGCGGCTTTGGCCCACGACTTGGGGAACTCAGGCGGGCGACGGCCGCGAAGGCCGCGATGGCCATGGGACCAGAACCCCGTTGATGGCGCCTGGGAAAAGCAACCCCGTTGAGGAGAAAGGGGTGCGTTTTTCATTTTTTGCGACGTTTGTTTGGTTTTGGGTGCTTTGAAAGGGAAGCCAAGAGGAAAACCAGCATTTTTTGGGGGTCTGAACACAGACATCAGGGATCAATTGGGCACGTGACCCTAGCGATGTTGGTTTGGGAAGCCAGCTCGAAAGTGGTGGACATGAATCCCCAGATTCAAATGAGTAGGTCCCCCAGTGCCCTTTCTCACCCCGTTTTGTGGGGGAGGGTTCCCCTATTAAAATAGACTACCGAAAAGAAAAAAAGGACCCTGCATCTAACCTCTTTTACTGGAGGACCATGCGATGTCCAGCAAAGGTTCCCCAAATACATTCATGCCCACAGGAGAAGAGTTTTATTGGATCCTTAACCTTTCAAAGACATGTGTATGTGCCCACCAACAATGAAAAGGATCATACGGCACCAGCAACCCCGAAGACAATGACAACACCACAAAGGAAGAACAGTGATTTTGATCCTTTGTTCGTTCGTTTTTCAAGGACTAGCTTTCCACTGACCAATCTAGGGTAGGCTTCCTTTGTTTCCCTTGGCCAGGTGCCAACTTCCGTGTTGGCTTTGGGCTGTCTACACTGCCTTGCTCCTCAGAGTTGCTCCGAGCCGTTCCCGAAATGACAATCAACCCTCATAATTTTGGTAGATAATGGGAAAACTTGCTTTCTTCTGTTTTCTTTTGCCACTGGTATAAGTTGCCAAATGATTGCTACTGGCTTTCCCCGCTAATACTGACCAAATGAGTTCTTGCAGTTTCCCAAAATTCTGTCGATCGGGTCGCATGGGAAGCCTGTCAGGGGTGACCAACGTCTTCCTCGCGGAGTCCGGCCATGAAACGGCCCTGCTGTACAACGATCAGACCCTCACCTAAGTTAAGCATGCCTCCTTTGAAGAAAGTTGGCCTTAAGTTTTATGGCTTTACCCAAGGTCCTACGCTTTCCAATCTCTGAGTCTTCCTGGTGAAACCTAGAGCTTAAGGCCTCTCAGTGTTGTCGTGAGAGATGTTCATCTTTTACTGCCAGGCCATTGGGAAATGTGGTCCCAAGGGGTTGTGCTTGGTTCCAACGATAAATTGCGTTTCCAGGCTGAGATTAAGGAAGCTGTTGGCCAGATGTATCCCAGGCCCTTTTTGGGGCGGGGGGTCGGCAGCTTGCAGTGGAAGTCAAGCCTCATTTGCATCTGCAGGCCCAACAGCTTGGAGCTTTTGTGCATGATGCCGTTCTCAGACGTACGGAGGCACACTTTGCAACGACCCCTGTCCTGACTGCCCTACATCGACAGGATTTTGCCGAATGCTATGCGACGGACATGAAGCCATGAAGCTGTCTTTCTTGAAACGCCAAGAGGTCGGCAGATTTCACATCAGCCACTCCCAAAGTCCGGCTGGCTGGATCTAGAAAGGGACGGGCAACGAGCACATACTACCGGATCGCAAGCGTTGCAGAGCAAAATGGAGGCGTCCAATCCACCAACCTGGGATTCAACCATCCCCAAAACCTGAAAGTGGAATTAGGGGACCCCCCACCCCGCTCCTCCTTGCGGTAAGGGGGATATGGGTGTGGCTCAAAATTAAACAGGAGGGGCAAACCGCAGGTTTTGGTCCATGTTTCCACCAGGGCATCCGATTTTGGAATTCCGGTTTTGTGAGCCCACATTCAACCTAGGATTCGACCATCCCTTTTTTGTGTCGACCCCCCACCCCCCTCCTCCTTGAGGTCGGGGGGAGATTCAGCCCAGGAGCTGCCTGCAGAACATGGCCTGCGCCAAGCTCTTCCGACTGCTGGCGGAGCCGGGCACCGCCATCTTCGTGAACTTCGACGAGCCCACCCGGCGCGACCTGCGCCAGGCGCAGCTTCGGGGGCGAAGACTTCGGCTTCGGGACCCGAAAGCCATGGCCCTGTGCTCAATATCGCTAACCAAAGCACACTATTATACGTGCCTAAAGCCAAAACGGCTTGAACAAGCAACCAAACAACTACAAGCCAATGAAGCCGAAACTCAGAGAGTCTTTCCACAGAATAGCCCAAAGCCAAAAACGTGAAAACACCTTTACACAAACAGCAACAACAAAACGCAAAAAAAGCTGCACTGTCCTCAGACACTTTTTTTAATCAGTAGCCGCTCACTGTGAGTTCTGGGCGATGCTTCTTTGGCTTTCTCGAGTTGCTTTGTTGCTTGTGTTGGGCGGGTTTGGTCCAGTGGAAAGACGGTTTGAGTTGTTGTTTGTTGTTATTGTTTTTGTTTTTTTTTTTTTTTTTTTTTTTTTTTTTTTTTTTTTTTTTTTTTTTTTTTTTTTTTTTTTTTTTTCTGGGGTTGGTTTGCTTTCTCAAAGTGTTGTTTGGTGTTGGTTTTGGGCTGGGCTTCAAAGATTGTGTACCATTGGTCCTCATGTCGGAATTAAGTGTATATTGTCTTATACTTATACTTGGCTGTTATCGGCTTTACTGTTGGGTTTCATATCCTATATCCTATCTTAGGTCTATTGCGATAAGTGCACTATTACTAAGCAAGCATGTCAATGAACATAGGCCATATATATATATATATATGTATATCTATTCAACTTTAAGGAAATTATGATACGCATTTCCAGAAGATTGAAACTTCAAATCATGCAGCTAGGATCCCAAAATCACCGTTATCTACGGTCAAATTGAGTACGCGCTAGCTTACGCATTGGTTTCTTGATATGCCCATTTACGCTCAACAAGCACGGCAGCAATCGCATTCACATGCCAAGGCTAAAGTTACCATGAGACCTGTAACTGTGCACTCCACAGTCCCCAGCTCTCTAAATAATGTGCCGGGCTTGTTTGGTTCTATTGTAAGGCAACACAATTGTTTGTACCCTCAAAAACGCGCACACACACACACCGATTAATTGTATTCCCCCTCTGTGGCTACAAGGGAAATCATGTAAGGACGGGGTGACCACGAGATTGGCGCTCAGGTGATCGTCTCGGCCATTTTGCACACGGATCCAGCATGCCATGACCGGCTGGTGACGCAAGTGTGGGGCCATTACTATGGGCGGCAAGACCTCTTCCAATACGTCGAGCAGCTGACAAGAACCGAGGAGGAGGAGGAGGAGGACATTGAGGACATGGTCGGGCAAAATGTGTTGGAACAACCAACCCCTAGTCGCCTTTGAACGGAACCAAGTGGTGGCTGTGCAAGCAATCGCCTCTTGTTGAAGCCATCAGTTTTTTACAGGGAAACCCAAAGAAGTTTGCTTACAGCACGGTCGCCTTTACAAAAGGCACTTGTTTAAGCAACAAGGGTGGAGCTTTCAAGAAAAACAGTCTCCCAAGGGAAATCAACCGGGCTTGCAAAAACAAGGAGGGGACACCAAGGAGGTTGTTTAAACACCCTCCTTGAAAGACAAACCACAGGGGGCTTGCTTAAACAAGTGAGTTTTACCAACTCCTGTCGCCTTAAAAGGGACACCGTGAAGAGGCTGATTAAACAACTAGCTTCTGGTCGTATTTGGCCTCCATGGGGAAACCCACAGGCGGGTGGCTACAAACAGCCAACCCCTGCTTGCCTTTAAAGGGCCAAAAGGGGTTGTGAAAACAGCCAACTCCTGGCCTTTTGGCCGTGTTAGGGAAGCCATGTTTGACAGGAATCACCAAGAGTTTCAACAACGATCGGTTCTCCTGTGTTTTAGACCGGTTTCGATCGAGTACCCCAGGACAAGAAGGAGCTGTTCTTGAAAGCGAAGGAAGAGGTGGAAGCTTGACTTGGTCCCGGCAGAGATGTTTTCAGTTGGATTGCTTTCGGGTGGGTTCCCATCAAATAATATCTTGTTTAAAGCCCAAAACGAATCGGTTCCCGGCCTTGGATTCTGCCCAAATCTCAGCTGTTGCTTTGGGCGGTTTTAGTGACCAGCCAGGGCGAATTCAGGGAATCACGTCAACCTCCCTCTTTTTAGCAAGCATGGAACTGGACGTGTGAGCCCTTTTGACGGGAATGGCAGTCTTCCAACACCCTCCTGCCCGCTTCTATTTCGGAACAAAACTCGCTGTGTGTGGTGTGCGTTGTTTGTTTATTTTTCGCTAGCCTGCCAAAGAAGCTCCGCAGTACCGTTTGGCGCTGCGCCGGATTTCCACCCGTTCTTTCCACCCAGCTTGGTTTTTTCAACACCTCCACGGTGCATCCACCAAAACCATCGGCGCATCCGGAGCCGAGGACACCTACTTCTGGAATGCCGATGTGAAGCATAGCCTCCGAAACTTCCTCGTGCCCTCCGCTGGTTGAGCTTTGTGGAACATACCCGAATCATCAACATGGGCGTGACAGTCTTTCTTTTAGGTGACCCTCCCAAAATGGTGGTGTTCCCATTTGGTCTTCCATTTTAAAGCACCAAAAAGGTGGGAACCTCAGACATTGACACAGCCACATTGCATACTGGCAGGCCGGCGAGCGCTTTGTTTGACAAAGATGTTTGATATGTAACACCCTGAGAGATGGTGCAGTCGACCGGCTGCGCCATGAGGTGCGCAGAGAGTCCAGTTTCCAGTCCGGTGCTACCCAGAGCATGGCGAAGGGTTTCCTAGCATCATGGTGGTAGCCGTGATCCGCAGGGGCATGATGAGTTTCTAGTGCGCAAAGATTCGCGTATGGTACACACAAATGTGGAGGGTTGAGTCCCCAGGTACGGCAAATCAGGTCCCCCCAAAGGCATTCGCATGAGTTGGAATGCTTTACAGGTTAGGGGCCCGCCATGAGCAAACATTTGTACTTAGCCGAGGGCCAGTGAAGGGCCGAAGGCCAATTTTAATGTGTTTTCCGCGTTTGGGAACCCCCCCCCCCCCAAAAGGGTCCAGAGGCAAAAAACCTCCGGCTACCCGATCGGCTTTGCCTTTGTTATCCGCGCGGAACCCCGCGTCACAGCGGTTCAGTGGGACTCTTCGTTTTGTTTTTTTTCTGCTTGGTTTCCGGAACCCGCTAGATTTGAGCGTTTCTCACAAGGGACCACTTGAAAAAAACACTTCAAATCGGTTCATCCAAAAAATTCCACCATTCTGAGACTTCAACCGTCGCAAACTGTTGAATGTTGACCCCCTATTCATCAACCCCAGAAAGGTGTTCCCCTCCACGAGTGACGAATTCCCCACTAAACCCCTGTATTATATGGCCATGGGTCAAATCCCAATCCCCACTAAAATAGTTTCTAAAATGGGTGGTGCACCTACCCCAAAATGGGATCCCATTGGTTTTGACCCACAGCCATATATTCATAAAACAGACGTTGATGAATATTCTAGGGGTTGATTCCTGATTCTGTTCAGCCATTGTTTTGTTTTAAAAAACCAGATCCATTGCCCCAGGGTGTGTGGTTTTCTAGAAGGAAGGATCTGTGGAAAGAATGGGGAAGTTACCCCTAGAAAAATGAACGGCACCATTGGTTTTGACCCACAACCATATCTCAAACTGCACCAACCAGGGGAAACTCTTTAAACGGTCTAGATGATACCCCTCTAAGAGGGTCGACATGATACCCTAAGAGAAGTGGGTATTTGGAGTCGGGGGATTATATATTTCATAAATCAGACGTGGATGAACATGGGGCCCACCCCCCGCCGCACTCCACCGTTCGACGCGCTCGAGGTGCACCTGGCGGACGCCTCGTATCCCCTGAAGCCCTGGGAGGTCTGCTCCTTCTGGGCCAACGCCGCCTTCGAAGAGTTCTTCAAGCAGGGCGACATGGAGACACGGCCTCGGGAGAGGTGTGTGTTTTTTTTGGAGGGGGGGGATGGGGGGGAGGGAGGGGGGGTGAAATAGATGTGTTGTGTTTTGCTGTTGTTGTGTTTTTTTTTGGGGGGGAGGCAGGGGGGGGGGGCGGGAGAGGGAGGGGGTGTGAAATAGATGTGTTGTCTTTTGTTGTGTGCTCTTTCTTTTTTGTCAGGGGGGGGTGAAATCCCCTAACATGGTCAGAAATGGTTGGTCTTTCTTGCTGTCTCCTTTTCTTTGGTGGGGAAACCCCCCTAACATTGTTGGTATTCGTTGCTGTTTTGTTTGTTTGCCCCCCCCCCCCCAAAAAAAAAAAACAAGTTGGATGGTGTTCCTTGCGGTTTCCCGTTGAACTGCCAAAACAGGGGAAGCCTCAGAAAAGAACAGATCACGCGAATCCTGGCCGATTTGCAGTTTTTTTTGGGGGGGAGGGGGGTCCCCAGAAAAGATTAACCAACCCAAAAAGGGTGCGTGTTGATTTTCTTCACGGCCAAAAGTTGTTGCAGCCCAAACCTGCACCTGTTGTCCTGAAACTGTGCGGAGGACTTTGTCCCGTTCAGATCCAAAAACACAAAAGCGGCTACCTTTTGTTTTCGGCGGTCCGTGGTCTGTCTGTGGCAGATGCCCTTTGTAGTTTCAGATTGCTTGAAGCTCAATAGATCAATTCAGGGAATCGGCCCTGGGTGGCCTTTTCGGATTTCAGGTTGGTAATCGATTGAACGGTTTTAATCATTCACCATATGCCATTGGTATCCATCATGTTTCGCAGGACCAGCTTTTTTTGGACTAGTGCTAGCAGCTGGTCTATGCCTCACTCACCTTCGCTTTTGTCAGACACCGTGCTTGCCAGGTAAGGTTTGGTTGACATTCAGTAGGACATGGATGGCATTGTTGCCACGCCGCGCATGTGAGCAAATTGGAGATTTTCAAGTACCAGCCAGGCAAGATGCATGGCTTTTCCCTCAATGCGCTGCGTTACCTTTCGTTTCGAAGCTCGCCTACTGGTGTTGGCCAACTCCCAACTTGATTTAGGGCCTAGGCGGGGGAGATTTGTTTGTTCAAGTGGAGGCCAAAAGCTCGAACTTTTGACCTGTGAAGCCAGCATGCCTGGCCACAAGACTGGCCCATCTCAAGATAGGCTCTTGAAGGAAAACCAAAGGGAGCCCACCATTCGAGGTGCAAACGTCTAAGCATTGGGGAATGGTTGGGTTGTTGCGTCACCCAGCCGCGAACAAGGTGGGCTTCTTTCAGATCACTCGTTGCCCAAACTGGGTGCGACGAGCGGTACCCATGAAACTGGGGTTTGTTTTTTGTGTCCGGCTCAGGAGAGGAACTACAAGATGCCAATGCAGCCGTTGAATGACCGCGTCCGGGTGAACGTGCCTTTTGCACAGGTCTGTTACATCAAGCACGTTATCGCCCCCACGTGCCAGCTCCTTACACTGCTGCTTGGCGACGTGTGGCACAAGGAATCTTTGGTGGCCCACCAGCCAGAGGATTTAGAATTCTGGTTCCTACGCATTTTCAAGCTTCAGCAGGGTTTGCCAGCAGTTCCTTTTTTACCTTGTGAGCATTGCTGGTTGTCGCTTTTGTCAGAGTTTGCTTTTCAGGGGTGATGTTTAAGCAGGAAATACGAGCCAACCCTGACACTTGTTGTTGGTTCGAAGCTCACTTGATGTCTGGTACCGTTGGGCCAGGCATGTTCAAACAAAGTCCTTGAAAAGGAAACCCAACATGCTCACTCCCGATTGATAAGCCTGTTAATCCACCAGCCTAAATCCGGGGTCAGCTGTGGACAGAATCCTACACCACTTTAAAACCATGGTTGAAACCATTCTTCGTTGGTATTTCATGGGGCATTCACCATTCCAGGGTTTCTTGGGTGGTGCGAGATGGATTTCGCAACCATCCATATGAGAGAACACCTGCTTGAACAAGGGGCTGGCCCCTTCCCGCGACTTTCTGACCCAAACCTTGGGCCGCTTGGGTTCGACAGAGGTTCCGCGCAAGTCTGGGATCACCTGGTGGTTCAGATGCAAGTTGTAGGGCCCTTGTTGGAGAATAAGAATGTGCGTGGTACTTTAAAAACCAAGGCATGACCGATTGATCGGATCATGCCCCAACAACAGCATATATTTGTCTTTGAAATAGCGGCACCACTTCTGGTGGCAAATGCAAATGAGTTCTCTTTGGTGTTGTACGCGTTTACCTCGTGTGACTAAACCCTGACAACAAAAGGCAGGGTGTAAATTGAAAAACTGTTTTTTTCTTTCTCGCTTAGTATTAATCAACACCCTGGGTTCCACAAGAAGAACCCGGTTGTCTACATTGCACTCCGCATTTAATTTAAGCCGTGTAAACCCCATATTTAACCCGCACTAACCCTGCCTTTTTTCAGGGTTTGGGTGCTCTAGGTAGCTTGAACATCTCGGGATTTCCACCTGGAGGTCACAAATCTAGTCTGCCCACCGCTCAGGATGTTGCCGCAAATGCGGCTTTGCAAGCAGTACATGTGGAAGAATCTTCACCAGATCCCTGGCCGCACTTCAGAAGCTCTCGCCGGGAACAAGAGCTTGACCCCCCCCTCTTGCCGCCCCAAAACTTTCATTGGTGGGTGTGTCTTGTTTAGTTTTCCTCTTGGTTACAAAGGGGGGGAGGTACCCTCAGAAAAGACACACTCTTGTAGAGGAGCTTCCTTGGTGATCCCTTCTGGGGTTGCATGTTTACTTGCCGGGCAGTAGCTCCCTGCTTAAGGGACTGGGTTTGTTTGTTATATGAACGCGGTGTTGGCACGCAGCTCAGAATTGCCTCTGAATACTCTGCCTGCACATTTCCATGGAAACGGGGATCTGGGATTCTTTCCAGGATATGGCTATGAATTCCAATGGGGAACCCTCTTGAAAGTGGGTGGTGGACATGAATCCCCACCTAACTGACGTCCACAATTTAAACTCACATCAATATTCCGTTGAACTTAAATATGGATTGGCTTTTTGGTGTCCCAGAATAATGCTGCGGGAGGCTCGGTTTTTTGGCGTAAGTTGCTCATGCTGCATTGGACTAGGCTTAGGGCTTTCACAGAGGCAAGTATTAGGAGTTACCAAAAATAGTGTTCAAAGAAAACATAGAACATAAACAGTAAACAACAAGATAGTAAGAATAATAATAAGAGTAATGATGATAATCAGAATAAAAACGCGAAGGAACAAACAAGTGCGAAAATAACACAAGTGCCCATTTGGGATGCCTGGTTTGCCGTGTTGTTTGTTTTGTTCATTGGTTTTTGTGTGTTTTTGTTCCTCGAGTTTTTCCACATTTTAGATGCCTGGTTTGCCCATGATGTGTCCCTGGCTGCATTGTGTTCTTTGTTTGTTCTGTTTTCTTTTGGGGGGATTGTTTTTGTTCCTCGTGTTTCCACATGTTGGATGCCTGGTCTGGCTGCATGTGTTTGTTTGTTTTTGGGTTGTTCTTTTTTGGTTGTTTTCCTCGAGTTTTTTCACATCTTGGATGCCTGGTCTGCCCCTGGACTTGCCTGGTCTGCCCCTGAACTGTCCCTGGCTTCATGTTGTTCTTGTTCTTTGTTTGGTTCCTTTTTTGTTGTTTCCGCGTCTTTTTATTATTAATACATATATATATATATATATATATGTTATACCGGTTTTCAGTGTTTGCCTATCTCTGGGGGGGTCATAAGAGAAGGCGTAGGAGCCTGCTCCTTTTGGACAGCTTCTTGGATACCACGTGGTTGTGGGTTTCTTTACCGTGTCAGCAGGCAAGCCAACCTGGAACCAAGAACTTCGGGCTCATAGACTTCGACTTGACTGCTATTGGGTTAGATCTTTAGACTTTTTGTTTGGGGGAAATTAAGGGGGGATTTCCACTTCACCCCCACCCAAAAAATACAACACCTTTTTGCAGAGGGGTCAAGAGCAACAAAGTTAGATGTTCAGTTCCCCTGGGACAACGAAAGGAGATGCTTAACTTCGAGGTTTGCCAGATCCTTTTGGACAACAAATTCATGTGAAAAATGTAAGGTCAACTAAGCTCGGGCGAAACACTTCGACGTGTCACTTTTCGTTCGGGCAACTGTTGGGTTAAAACTGATTGACCACCGTTGAAAGCGGCTTGATCATTTTTGCTGTTCCAGATCTGCTGATTGGCCCGGGGTTTCCGTCTAGGATCGAAACCCAATAGCCCCCGCCTGTTTTCAGGCAAAGCTTGGTTTGCGGGTGATGCTTAGTTTGGGGATCTGGACTCCTGGTTCTTATAGCGGTTACGTGGGGTTTACCAGCCCGCCAAACCTTTGGAGGGAAGGTGTAAATATGTAGCCATGGATATCACTCGGGCACCTCAAAAGCGGTTGGTGAGGTTGGATACTGTGGATGGACGAAATCCTGCACCACATTGAAACCATGGGAAACCATTGTTTGTTGGCGTTTGCAGAAGAATCAAATCATTCCAGGGTTTCTTGGGTGGCGCGAAATGGATTTCGCAACCATCCACAGTATGAATCCCTGACTTCTGAGGTTTTCAAGGGCAGCTCCAAGGACCCCAGGAAGCTAGAGCCAAGGTGTACCAAAAGACCACTCGTGGCTTTCGAAAGGCTTGTCAAATTGGAACACCTGCGGCTTCTTTCGGGGAAAAAAACAAAACAAAAAGACAAAAAAAAAAAACAAACGTGGTCACAGGTTCCCAGGTGCCCGAAGGGCAGCTGAAGCAAACAGAGGGGTTCCGACCAAATCCTTCAAGGATACATGTGGGCAAATCGGAAACTAGCTGCGCTCGCTGTGTCAAGGGTTATTTGAATGTGCGCCATGTGATTTGTTAGCTTGATTGGATTTAGGATACATTTGACATTTTGTAATGGTTTTGCCCATGCCCTCCCCCGTATGGGGCCATCCACATTCCAACAAGGGCCGACCAGCTTGAGCTTCAGCAAAGCCATGCTCACATGTTCACAGCCGGGTAGGAACCCTGAATGCTGATGGTTTTCTTCGCGTAGTAGGAAAGAATGTTGGTTTTCCTTGGGTTTCGAATTGATCCAACCTGAAAAGGGTGGCAACTCAAAACACACACCCAAATAATGCGTGTTTCCTATGTTGCTTAAATTGGCTTAGTAAGTTGGCTATAGCCCGCTTATTACTTCATAACCCTTGTTTTATGGGGACTAATCCCCAGATAGTCCAGGTATAGCCACGGTCACAACCAATTTACTACAGGGTCCCTTGCAGGATGCGTTTGGGCCAATCTACCAAGTCAGATTGACGAGCTGATCCAATCCTACGCATGTTGGTCTTGGTGTATTTGAGGAACCCTGTGGTTACGTCAACCCTGTTACATCCCTGTTGTCTTGCCCAGAATTAGCTCTTTTTTTTTGAATTTCTGGGGTCCCTTTGTTTTCCACTACCCAGGCAAAAAAGAAATATATATATATATATGTTTGGTGGGGTTCTAATTCCAGCCTAGTTGTATCCAGGTTCCTTTGGTTCAGAATCACTATCGGACAGGTGGCTGGAGAAGTGGACGCAGAGCGGCCCAGATCACGAGGAGATGCAGCGGGTCTTCCGGGAGGTCAAGGAGTTGAAGGCGATCGGATGATTGGCGTCAGTAAGACCTACTGTGGATGGACGAAATCCTGCACCACCTAAGAAACCCTAGAATGATTTGATTCCCCTGTAGATACCAACAGACAATGGTTTACCATGGTTTCAAAGTGGTGCGAACGGATGTCGTCCATCCACAGTATTCCCAGGACTTAGCTTGCCTTGGCGGCAAGAATGGGTAGATGCGGGGCGAGGGGGTTCCCGTGCCATGGACACCTGGAGGTTATTTTGACAAACGAATACCCTGAAGCAGGTTGGTTACGAAATGGACCCTACTCATGGTTGTTGTTTTTTGTTTTTTTGCATTTTTGCTTATTGTGGTTTAGTGGGAAATCCCCACTTAACTGCTATTATGTTTTTGTTTGCTCCCCTTTCAATGTTAATTAAGTAGTGTGGATGGACGAAATCCTGCACCACCCAAGAAACCCTAGAATGAAAGTGGTGCAGGATTTCATCCATCCACAGTATGTGTCCATCACACTGGTGGTTCGCTGTTGTCCGGCAGAGTGCCATGGACGTGGCCACTCTCGACCTCGTACTTCGTCTTGCGTGCCACAGGCCCTCTTCCATCACTTTCTCTTCCTGAAGTCTGCCAAACCCTTTCTGCATCAATTTTTCACTTCCTGAGTTCCTGGGCTTCAAACTTTTTGGGAAGACCAGTTGGTGGTACACCAAACGTGTTTTTTGCTAGCCGATCCAATCTGGAAGTGCGATTTAGTGGTTGTGCTCGTGGCCTCCATTTTGCTGGGCAGTCCTGCCCAGAATCCGTACCTCTCTTGGAGGCAGAACCCTGGAAGTGGGCCCGAGATTCCTGAAATTTCACCCTCATCCTGTCCATGAGTGGCCCCATGAGTGACCCGCCGTTCAACATGCAAGGCGCCTGTGGTCCACGCACTGCTAATTTGCGACGGGCTTATGCCTTATCCACCTTGGTTTGGGTTCACAAGCCACAGTTGGTGTTTTGAGGCCTGGTATGCTCCCCCCTTCTCTCCTTCCACTCTTTGCTCCGCTCTTCGCCTTCTCCCCACTCTCTCTAGTCTTCGCTCCGCTCGTTTCTCGGCTCTTCTCCCACTCAGCTGCCCACTCTTCGCGCCCTTCGCTCCGCTCTTTCCTCCATTCTGTCCCCCGCTCTTCAAACCTATGCGCTTTGATTGCACTTTGCCGCGTGTTTTGCACAGAGGATGCATAGAGGAAGGGCTCTTCGGGAGCTTGGGCGCTTTGGCTGTTGATCTTTCTGAAGTTCCTCCCCTGTCAACCCCTTCGCGTCCTCAAGTAGCACTTGCCCCCAGATACGCCGATCCAGTTCCTGTGCACACCCCGGTTGCCTTTGGCTTTGGCACCAGGGTTCTCTGCATTTTCTAGGGACCAAAGGCAGGGGGTTGTTGGTTTCAAACCTACCTGGGCTCATCAAACAATGGAACCCTCACACGCAGGATGAGGATATGGGCGAAGTCGACATGGTGGAGCCAATGAAAAGCGGAGGGGACTCCGAAATGGAGAGTCCCGTGCGTAGCATGCGTAGCATGCGTAGCTAGGTCAGAGTCTCACCCACCGCACCCAGAAGTGGTCAGGGGGAAACAGTTGCGACACCTCCCAAGAAGGACATGGACGTTTGAAGCCAAATCAAGAGAACTAGTCTTTCAAAGCCCTCTGACCGTCCACTTCCAGTCTTGGAAAGAGGCTAACTTACACTTCTTAGGGCACCTTGGGAAGACTACTTGGTGCAAAGCAGTTGTTGAATCAGTTCTTAGAGCCTGGGAGGAGCTGACTAGTCCCCTATGGTTGAGGCTGGTGTGGTTGCAGGGCGGCCTGCAAATGAACTGAACGTGCCCTAGCAGCATATTCAAATTTGAACACGTTCTTGGACTCAGCCGAAAGAATCCTTGGGTTTGGGACAAAGTCTTGATTACCGCACAGCACACGAGGTGGGTTGAAGTGATCACTGGAGATAGTGTTGCTGGTTGGCCGGTTCTCGGGCGTGTGACGCGCCTCATTTGTGGTACATTCCTGCAGGTGGACATGGAAGCCTTTTGGGGAGCGGGTTCTGGGTTCCAAGTTGCCCTGCATGGCACTATGAGTACGTAGGCCATGGCCACAAGAGGTCCTTTTTCAGACACGCACATCTGCCCCACTCGGGGACAGCCAAGTTGACGTCTTGGGGTTCAACGTGGCAAATCAATTTGGTGGGTTGAGCTGTGTCATTCCCAGAGCTGGGGGCCCACTCGCTATTCCCAGTGAATGGCAAGTAATTTATCCCCCTCTGGGACCGTAAGCAGGGAACTGGGGCCGTGCCTTGGCCGCTTTTGTTGAACCACCCTGTGGATGGACAAAATCCGTTCGCACCACCTAAGAAACTGTGGTTGAAACCAGAACATTTGTTGTTATTTACAGGGGGGATCGGATCTTCTTAGGTGGTGAGAAATGGATTTCATCCATCCTCAGGAGTGAAGGGGGCGGGTTGAGTGTCGCAACTCAGGTCCCTTGACGCCCGGATCCGCCAGATCCGCCTGGGGCTCGATGGATGTTGGAGAATCCGACAAACACACTCCGGAGTCATCGGCCTAGGTGAGCATCAGGACACCTTCAGCCAGCTTGACAGGACCGCGCCCGATAACTTTTTCTACTGGGCTTGCAGAGTGTTGCTGGGTCCCTCAAAGTGCCTAACACGTGGGACACGGGAAGTCGTTTGGGGTAATCTCTTGGTTGAATAGAAAGGCCGTTTGGGGGTCGAGGTACTTTGGCCAAAGGCCGCGGTCGCAGAAGTTATAGTCGCACATGGGCGTGCAGCTGGAGACCTATTGGAAGAGGTTCCTCTTGAAAAGGGTCATGTTAATGTTTGTTGGAAGGGTAACTGGGCAATTGCCTCGAATTGCTCAACCTCCATCTTATTCCGTCACATCCCCCCATGTTGGCAAGATTTCCATCAACAAGCGCTTGGTTTCCGTTTGTGGCCGCACCGCATTTGTCCGAAAACGATCCCACATAAAGACGTACTTCTAAAGCCTAAAGCTTCAATCCTCGATTTCTGAAACCCGCGAGCAATTGAACACCTTCCTTCCTTCCCTCCCGTTTTTCCTTCAATGCCTTCCTTCTTTTTCTTCTTCAATAACCTTCCCTTCAACCCTGAAAAGTCCTGAAAACCTCCAAGGATTGCACCCGTCCTCCCTTTCTCCTGTCGGTTTTCCTGCTCGGCGCACGTTCTAAAAACGTTTTCGCCAGGAACCACGACGGGAAGCTGTCCGCGGAGGAGCTGAAAGCCTGGCCTTTGCTGCCGCTCGGACGAGAAGTTCCTGTTCGCCCTCCTTTTGTGGCGGGTTTCCTCTTGCCAAGTGTGGCCTTCTATTCTCCCACTGGCCACTGGAGGTTTTGCAGAAAGGGTTGCCTCTCCAAGTGTGGCCCGCTATTTCCCATGGCCCTGGCACTTTGGGTTCTCCTTTCCGAGTTTAGTTTACTGCGCGTCCTCTGGTTCAGTTCCCTCTACTCTGGGGACCGTGCATCTTGGGTATCATACAGTTTAAGAAGTTGTCCATGTGTTTCTGTGAAGTGCGGTCAAAATCTTCAGTAGCTCACAAGTCGCCAACACATGGAATCCCTTTAGAGAACCAGAGTCACTGGCCTTTCGGGGTGATTCCTCGCGGGGAATGTGCGGCCCCATGCGTGGTTCCTCGTGACTGGGTGTCCCCGCCCATGTGAACCATCCAGAGTTGCAACCTGTGTGTACCTCTCGACCCCATTCTGTTGCGGGGGAACATCAAGACTTCACTGCTACTGGATTGGAGCTTTAGACTTTAACTTTTTGGAAAATCAAGAGGGCCGCTAAAACAGGTCCCAAGAAGGCTAGTCCTTCCTCGTGCTGTTGACCGCTGTCTGAGGTCCACGCGTCGCGCGACATTGGTGTGAGCCCAGTCCAAGCGCTTCAGACAGCAAAAAGAAAATCGTGCTGCCGGGCTGGATGGACATCTACCCTTCGGCCAACAAAGTTGAAGGTGCACAGGCGAACCTTCTATCAGGAACCTAGTCTTCCAAGAAAGCCTGTGCACTTTCCATGCTTGGTGGGAGGATGATCTAGGTGTTCCTGTTTTGCCAGTTGCCATTTCTCCACAGCAATTGCTGCAATCATATTTGTTTACCTCCAGGTTCTAAATGGTTAGCCTTGACTTGCAAACAATCATGACAACTGGAAGCACTGCGTTCTTCATCGGGAATCAGGATTTCTGTGCACTTGGGGAACGTGCTTTGAGCAGTCAGAGAGGCGTCTTGGCAGAAATGCATCACTGCCACGCGCCGCGCCGAGCTTCGGAAGGCCTTCGGAAGTTGGGCAGTTTGCAGCAGATGGATTTGGCCAAAGGCCTTTGGTGGGGCTTGTTTGGGTGACAGGGCAGGGACAGGAACCACCAACCCAAAACAACCTCACGAGTTTTCCCCGAGACGGAACATGGGCTTATGCTGGTATCCGCTCAAAAGTCTGTCTCATCCAGTGTCGGTGACTTGCTGAGCCAGTGATGCACCCGCGCCCGCCGACCGTCCACTATCAAGCTCCTGAAGCTTTGCCTATTGAGAGGCGCTAGCTTTCCTACAAATGCAAGACAGCCAGTCACACATCTTGGCAAATTGCTGGTGTGGCATGCTTGCGTGTTTTACTTCTGAACCTTAAAGCAGAACGCTTGTCAGCCGCGCCAAACATGAGCAAGATCCTGGTCACCGGCCACTGGGTTGCAGTGAACAAAGTTTCAGCGCCCACCAGGCAATCTTTTGACACAACGCAGACTTGAAGTGGTGCCAATCCCTCCTTGCTGGCTTGCTGGTTATGACACTCTCCCACCCCCTCCCCCCCCCCCCCCAAAGCAAAAAGAAAAGCACTCTCTCACGCCCCCCCCCTCAAAAAAAGAAAGAGAGAAACCAGAATCAAGGGGGCAGCCAGTTACGAACTGAAGACTCAGGCAGGCCATGTGTTTCGGCCATTTCCCCCGCTTTCGCCCCTTAAGGATGGGTTTTCCGCGTTCTTTCTTTTAATCAATTGCCCACACGTGGGCCATTGGCGCGGGGCGCGGGCCCCTTGCGTTTGAATGTCTACGCTGGACTATTGCAAGTAAGGCAGCCAGGAACCCTCTAATTTGGCATTTGTGGTGTGGTTGTTGCATTTATGAAAGGGGGCTCCACCGGAGACCGAGTTTGTCTTTGTTTCTTATTTGCGTGTGAATCTTTAGGTCCTCACCAGGTTACCTGGTTAGGACCCGCACCAAAGGTTAGTTTTGCATGCCCCTTGACACCAGCCGAAAGATGCCTTCAAAACTAAAATAATCCCGGCTTGTATAGGCTCAAGACAACCATCATCAGGCAAAATACTAAAGCCTCTCGGCATGCGAACAAGCGGCAGAACGGCACTCCTTTCTAAAGCGGTCAGTTGGCAAGCACGGTTTGACTTTTGGCATCGTTCCACCAGTTTCGCTGAACATAAACAAGCCGCCTTTGTTAAGGGTTACGCACGTGTAGAAACACTAAGTTCAATGTTATGCTTGCAAAGACAATGGCCTCTATGGTTACTAAGTTACTTTTTTCGTCGGTACTAAGTTTAAGTGGCTGAAATCAGCATCAACAAGTGATTAAACTTTGAAACACCTCCTAACATTCATCAGGTTGTGGCCTTTCTGCCAACACTGACATATACGGACATCTATTCCATGATGAGACCCCAGGAAAACCTGTTCTTTAAACACCTCTTGGATCCTCTTGGTTTCCCTGACATTTTGGGCCCAAGCATAGATATTTGCCCAACGAGAGCCAGAGTGTTGTTTTTTGGGGGGGATTTGGAGGCTTCCCCTAAGGGTACTGCAAATACTGCCGTACACATCGATTGCAGGGTTTATGTCAGAGTGTTGCCCTTTGGGCTCCATCCCGGAGGCAGGGCTTGCGTTTTTACCCCCGCCTGAGGAAAAATCAGCCAAATCAGGTCAGGTTGAACCAAACTCAAGTAATTAATCAGAGTTGAAAGTCAGCATGTTCGAGTTGGACTATGGTTTCCCCGGGCCAGGGCTCAGGCTTCAATTCGTGGAGCCGGTTTTTGTCCAGGTGGCAACGCGGGCATCGGCTTGGCCCTCTGCAAGCAGCTGACCTACGAGGGGCGCCACGTGTACCTCGGCTCCCGGTCCCTCGAGAAGGGCGCTGCCGTCAAGGCCATCATGGCACCCCGGCGCACTGCTTGCGAGAGATGCAGGGACCTCTGTGTTTAGAACAGTTCTGGTGTGCCTTGTAGGGGAACCTTTTGGGGGGTTGGGAAAAAAAAGGAATTTTACCTGTTTGGAGGGTTCCCCAATTTTCCGATCTTGTTCTTAGTGGTTGAGTCCGCGGAAGCTCTAAGCGTCCACGGTGCGGTCACCCCCAAATTGATCTTTTGGCAGCTACGCCCGCGTCCAGCAATTGGTTGTCCTGCGGTTTCTCTTTGGTTTCCCTTTTCAAGAGCCCCTAAAAGGCAGCCATAACACAAAGACAACGCAGAACTACATAGCGGCCCTTGTTAAAAGGCAACGTTTGAACAATGCACTTTTCCAGATTGTCGGTGGGTTTTTCCTGAATGTGGGTGGGGATTGTCCAGTTGCGGTGGGGATGATGGGGCGGCTCATCGGCCCACGATTGTCGTTTGTTTGCGCGCCATAACGCAGACCGAGGGGACCCGAACAATGGTTGATGTCCATGTTGTGGGCTCTGCACATGGAGCCCCAACAAGGCATCCTTACAAAAGCAGAGTATGATAACCTTGAATCTTTGGGTTGTGTTCTTCTGTTGGGGGTAGGTACATGTTGATCTGGGGGGGTGTAAGAAGTCGAAGCAAGCCATCCCTTGCGAAAGGTACGGGGGCCCAGGAACTGGAACCTGGGCTTGTGCTGGGCAGGCAATTCCTGACTTGCCTTGTGGCAGGTTAGAGGTTTGGGCAGTGCTTGCGTTAGACGCAGGCACATGGAAATGCAGCCTAGGGCCGAATTACATCCCTGGACCCAGAGGTTGTCACGGGTCACTAGGCAACCCTAGGCCAGGTTTCTTGTGGCTCCCTTGGCTAAATGGGGAAATGACATGGCTGCGAATCAGGGCAGTCCCAAATCCGTGATACCAACGGAACGCCTTCCACAAGTGGTTAAACAAGCTGAGCATTCCATCCCTGTAGCCGAGGAACATCCCCGGCCAAAGAATTAGCTAACAACGCCCTTTGTTGTGTCTGTGTGTGTGTGTGTTCGCGGGTGTTTGGCTAACTTCCTAGAGATGTTCCTGGAGTTCGTTTCTTGGCAAAAGTTGGACACCCCTTTTTCGGTGTTACACATATTGGACGCTTCTGTTTTGTGTTACACATGTGCAATTTGAGAAGGTCCCCCTCCTTCGAACGGGTTGACACCTGCCTGAGGACGGGCTCCCGGCGGGTTGCGCCGGCAAGTGCGAAGTCGTGCAGCTGGACACCTCCTCAGACTCCTCCGTGGCTGCGGCCGTGGAAGCGGTGAAGAGCCGCCTGGTCGCGCCTGACGTGTGGAACGTGACGCGAGAGAGACGGCCAGGGTGCCACTTTTCGACTACCCCAGGGTAGGCTGAAACCCAGCGGGGGGTTCATGCCCAGGAGGTGCCCTGGGTTCAACGGTTTGAGTATATCTTTGGGTCAAAAAGTGGGACCCTGGAGACGGCCGCCTCAGATGGTCTCCTGTCCATGTTGCCATGGAACACCAGAGGGGCCCCTGAAAAAGGAAGATCGTTTTTCGAGACCGCCTCAGTCAGGGTCCGGGCCCATGTTAGTGGATAATGTTTGTTATCTAACCACTTGTCAAGCCCTAATGATCTACAACTTGACATCACCCCGCCCGACGGAAACTCACCCTAAATGGGCCCAACACGTGATATTTCAACCATCCCGGAAGGGGAAGCATAGCTGGCTGGGTTGAAGGGACGGATCACAAACGAGCAGGCTGACTACTACAGTGATCTGTATAGTGGTAGCTAGGATTCAAGTGGGATCAATTATGATGGGTTTTTAGCTCTTGCGATGCAGGCGCATCGGTTTTGTCTCGAGCTTGTCGTCATATGGGCTGTGTTCGCTCTGCGCGGACAGGCTCGAAGTCGAGCAACGCTTTCACTGACAGATCAGGTCAACCCATGTGTATGGTTACTTGGTTGTTTGTGGCATCACCTGCGGGTTTCAAATCAAAAGTTTCCACGTAAGGTGGTGTTTGTTGGAATATAGTGGGGCCTTCTTGACCAATCAGATGGGCTGACACGTACCCAGGTGTGTTTTTGTTTAGTGGACCCCGCAAATTCGTGGTGTTCCTTTTGTTTCCCGCTAAAAACCACTAGAAACTAAAAAGGGGTACCCTCAAAAACAGACAGAACATCAGGTAGCCTGGGCAGTGATCAGCTCTATGGGATCGTGAACAACGCGGGCACCGGCCTCGGCCACGGGGTGACTGCGGACGTGGCCGGGAGCCCAAGTTTGCGAGTTGGAGCCCTACTTCGATGGGCCGTAGCTAAATGGCTAGCTTTGCCCTGGCTACAGGGGACTTACAACCTGGGTAGACTTAGGATACATTTTACATTTTACCAGTGACTCAAAGTGAAGCAAACAATAAAATATATATTCTATAACTGGGCCTAACTCTAATCATGCAACCATTGCAAGTGGGTTACAGCCAGGCTACTAGCCATTTAGCTAACTCCCAGACCAGCCAAGTAATCCCCCGCGGCCTTTGCGTTCTTTTTGTTTAAAGGGGCTTTCCCTTTGAAGTCAACCAAACCTTGGCGGCCTCTGTTTCCCATATACCACTCAGGCCGGCTACGGGTTCGCAGAAGAGTGGATCCCTACCGTGCATTACGTATCCAGTTGTTTGACTCCCTTTGATGCCAAGATGTTTTCAGTAGCCTGTTTGTTCTTCTGTGGGATTTTCCGGAAAAGTCGGGAATGCCTGACCTGTGTGCTGTCGGCAAGTCTTGCTCTGGCATGGGATGCTTATTGCTTGAAGCTCCACGCAGGTCATGAATACCAACCTCTTCGGTCCGAAGCGGGTCATTGAAGGCCCGGATTGGGAGGGGTATCTTTGCCGCTCTGAGCATTTTCAGTGTGAATTGGCTGCAGGGTGCCGCGGGAGCGCCTTCCCAATGACCAGTTCTCCACTTGAAGGGGGGTGGGGGGGGGCAGGGTTTTCTGGTGTCACAAAAGTGGGCACAACCCCCACCCACGCGGTCTAGAGCGACAAGTAGAGGGCTTCCTCATTGGAAGCCAGGGTAGGTTCAAAGAGAAACCAAATACTCATTTATTCGCAATGAGAAAATGCGGCCTCCAGAACAGAACGCATGTTGTAGGATAGACTCAGTATATGGAACAGAGCCCCAGAAAATATCTAACCTTCTGTGTAGTGGGCCAAGGCTCAAAGGTTGGGTGCTCTGCGCTGGAGGAGCCAAAGTTCGAGTTTTGTGGCCACGGGGGTCGCCAAGGTTCGGTGCTGACTTTTGAGGAGACACGTGCCAGTCACTGCCAAACGAACTTGGCCCACCTTTCACCTTTTTGCCTTTTGAGGTTTCCCTCATGTTCTCTTTCAAGCAGCAAAGCATGCTCTTGCATTGGCTCTCGGTTTGCTTAAGTGTGGTGAGGCATGTTGTTTGATACACCCCTCGCTTGACAAGCGTAGTTGCCCTTTGAGTGAGAAATCATTGCCAGACATAACCATTTTGCCCTTTCGCCCTGTCGGTTTGCCTGTTGCTCCCTTTTCACTTGCAGAAAGAGTGACTGTTTGTCCGTGATGCAGTGAAGACCAAAGTCTGTGATGCCAAGGACGCCCACCGTAAGACGACAAAGTAGCCTGTAGAATGGGAATCCCCACTTTGAGAGCACAGAAAGTGGCTCAGTTCGAAAAGACAACCACTCTCGTAGTGTGCCCCCCTTTTCCTACAATGCTAGCCGTACCTTCCGCATTCTCTTTTGGGATCCTTGTCTTTCAAATGCGCAGGTTTCTATAAAGAACGACGGGTGAAGACGGTGAAGAGCATGGATCAAGCCTTAGAACCATTATGCACGCGCAGAGGGGGGATTCGGAAGACCTGTTTGCTTTGAAGGCTTCATGCCCTTGCTCAACAAGGAGGGCCGCATCGTGAACGTGGGCTCCGGAGCAGGCCCCATGTACGTGGCAAGGTGCTTCTTGGTTGAAAGTTAACGCTGTTCTCCCGAGGGCCCCTTTCAGGTTCTATGTTGTTTTTAGGAGGGTGCAAACAAGGGCGCGGGGGTGAACACGCTATATTGGGGCCAAACAAGCGAAAGGATGCTCAATGGGGCCTTTTTCTTTGCAGGTGTGATGGGGTCCAAGGTTTTTGCGCAGCAGCACGCAGAGACGATTGAAGTCCGCAGTGCTGCATAGCCTTGGAAAGTTTGAACATGTGGGAAGACATTTGATGGGTGCGCCTCTTGCGGATTTCGGCGGCTGACTTGCGGATCGCTCATTTTTGAGCTACGGGTTGGTATCAGGGAAGGTCAAGGTGGGCTTGTTGCTTGAAGTTGGATTTCTGCCTAGCATGGAGCTGGCTCCTTTTGATTGGTGCTTACGAAGATGACAGGATTCAGGTTCAACAACAACGATAAAGTAGAAGGACCTTGCCAGATTCTGGTGTGCTCCATGTTGCGGAGGCTATCCTTTTGGTGGGTTTAAACGGATTCCCAAAAGGGAAGCCACACATTTCGGAGGTTTCTCTCTGAGACGAGGTGTCTTTGGTCTTGGGTTGCCGGCAAAGTTCGCTGGCACAGTCCATTGCATTCCGGTTAGTCAAGGGCCCGCAAAGAGGGGACCTCCCAACAAAGGGCACCCTACTAGCCCCTAGTAGGCCTCTTTGGTCGCTAGTAGTTTCTGGGATTGGGGGGCCCCTATTGGGCTGCCCTTGCCAACCGTAGGATTCATAGGCTCGCTTTCCAGCTTCTTGGCACCCTCCGGGGTTTGATTTTCATTTCCCCCCCGCGTGGTCATCAAGAAGCAGTCGGGGCGTTGGCTCCGGTGCTGGGCTCGTCCTTGAGAAGCTTAGGCCCACCGGAGGTGCGGCCCTGAGCTGCAGCGTGTGGACAAAAGGACGCAGGGAAGGGAGCTTGGAGTCATAAGGTTTTGTGAGGGTTGTTCATCAACCCCTGGTTTTAGCGATTTAGTGGTAGTTTCCATTTAACACTTTTAGCGGGGGGATCTGAGGGCAGCCCAGTTGACTGACTGGGGTTTCTGGTCTCATTTTAGAGGAGATCCGTCATGGGGAAATGCACCCACCAAGTAATCTGACGGGTGATTTGTGTGGGGTCGATGTTCATTCGCCTGCCATTTGCCATCCGCGGCAAGGGGTCCGAAGTTGACCTGGAATGTAGAATGCTATGTTCAGCAAATGGTTGGCCAAATTCTCCACAGACAAAGACAAAGGGACGCGTGGAAGACTACCCTTCGCATATTCAGTTGCACAATGCAGTTTGACCCAATCACCCTCCCCCCCCCCGCCCCCCCTGCTTTGTTGCTTTTGGCAAAGTAGGGTAATGTTTGCAGGTCTTGGAATTTATAGTGACCTTTTGCATGGTAGGCGATGCAACTTGTGATTGGTTTGGTCTTTAGGCTTATGAAAACTGGTTTGCACTTCAGCACTCTGACCCTTGGCCCGATCCACTGCATGCCATTGACTGACCTCCAACAAATGCCCAAGGTGTGACTATGGGAATGCCAAGGCATGCTGGAATGAAAACGCCTGCAAGGAAACACGGGAAACTGGATTGCCCCTTGGAACGTTGCAAGTGACGGGTGGGCGCCAGCAAGTCTTCGACGCTTGAAACAACTAGCAGCGCGACGCTCGAGGCATTTTCACGTTGGCAAAGGCTGAGCCCGGGAGGGGCAAAGGGGGGGGGGAGAAGAACCAAGAAACAGTCGACCAGACACTTGGGTGTGGGTCAACAATTGCACTACCAGGGGACCGCAGGTTTTATTCTTTGTTTCCATTTGCCAGGGTTCCATTTTAGGAACCTATTTTTGACCCACACCCATTTAACATCCATAGCCGCGTTTGCAAGACAGCGCCTGCGATAGTAAGATGGCACCAGCATGACAGCATGCAGGGGTCAGGAAGGGTTCGGTTTTCAGTGGCTGCGGATGGACAAACATCATGCAACGGTTGGGCTGGATGAAACACCTGGCACCCAAAGCAATCACAGAAGTGACAGAACCTCAAGGCTAGGAGTTGGATGCTCTCTCCTTGGACCATTTTCTTTTGTTTCTGTTCAATTGAGTGGACCCTGGGCGGTTCCCCTTGGTCGGGGATGTACCCTTTTTTTTGTGTGTATTTATGCATATCTACACACGTGCAGGGCTTAAAGTCCATTTAAAACTGCCGGGTTCACTCAGTTCCTTTTGCCACTTTGCCCGAGGTGAAGAAGATGCATCTCAGCAGCTTTGAGTGGAGGTTTCCCCATCCTCAAGGCACCAAGCTCTATGTCAAGACTCTATGTAGCCGACGCCCATCATGAATCAAGGCCTAGTAGAAGGCCTGTTCAAAGGCATGCATAATGTTGAAGGAATCCTTATTATAATGGGCAAGCAGCTGCGAGTGCATACCCAGGCAAGCCACGGCTTGAAAGTTTGGTGGATTCCGGACAGGGGACTTGTGAAGCTGTGGCAAGATTTGGCAGGCTTCGAAGCGCCCCTGATTTGTTCCACGCAGTCCTGCCAAGTGAAAGCTTCAACATTGCAAGCTGGAACGGGTAGGACGTACCAGTGATTGATCGTGGTTGTTTGGTGTTGCTCCGGAATGCACAAGTGGGGTGCTATAAACATGGTAAAGCATGTAGGATTTTGAGAACTGGGAATGCGTGGCAGGGGGGCCTTTCAACATCAACGTTGAGCTGGTTTGTTTGTTTGCTTGCTTGTTTGCTTTGTTTGTTTGTTTGTTTGTTTGTTAGTTTGTTTGTTTGTTTGTCGCGGAGGGAGTTTGGCTGGCCGAATCATTGCATGAAGCTGTAAGGAAACCACCAGGCATGCGGGCTAACACGCTTTGCTTCTTTCAAGGTTGACGTAAAGCTTGCCGTCACATCTACCAATCAGGGCCAGGTCGAATTGCTGGCTGTCTTGCCGAGGTGTTGTTCAACATGGCGATAATTTCAGCGGGCCCCAACAAGTCCTGTCGAATCTGTCCAACAAGGGGCAAGCAGAAGTAAGCCATCACCCTCCCACCACCGCTTTTTCCCACGTCCATAACCCACAAGTTCGGTCGAGCATCCGTCTTATCTTGTCGGATCTCCCCGAGACCGCGCCGGGCTGTTTAGTTTTCCTTTTTCAGCAAGCCACTTGAGGTCTTTCGGTTTGGCGGGCTAGGAGTTTATTCCCACTTCTGTGATTCTTTTGGGAGTCTCCCCCTTTACAAGCGGAATTGGTGGTCTTTGGGCTTAGGCCCTTTCTGTCGTATCACAGCGGGATCGATCCATTTCCCACAGCCCTGGGTTTGGGTGGAGTTCAGGGACCGCGCCGGGCTGTCTATAGTTTCCATTTTTCAGTAAGCCACTTGAGGTCTTTCGTTGTGGCGGGGGAGGAGTTTTTGGTTTTGGTTCCTTTGAGGCTTTGCAACCCGGAGATCACTTGGCCGGAGATCGCCGAGCACGCGAAGAGTGGCCTCGGCTCTGCGGCGGACGCCATGGGCGGCTATGGCCCTTCCAAGGCATGGGGCTGGAAATCCGGGTTAGGCCTCCAACTGTGGCATGTTTTGTTGGGGCATTTTTGTTGTTTAGTTGGGTTTGTTGAGGTGTCCCTTTAACAACTTGCCACCAATAAGAACAGCCATGGGGTTGCCATGATGTGTTTTTGGTGCGTTTGTTTCTGAAGGGTTTGCCTTTAGAGCCTGCCACCAAAGAAAGACGGCTATGGCCACTGGGGGTCTGGGGGTTGTAGGATTGGCTTCTGTGATAGGTTGCCTTGGACCTGCATGTGTGTCTTCCAGTTGCGTTTCAGAATGTAGTTTATTTTCTCCTGTTGCTTTTAAAGGGGATCTATCACTAGTGGAATATGCATTTTCCAGGGCTTCAAGCAAATTCAGGGTTTGTGAAGTGGATCCGCTACTTAGGTTCCTGGAGGCAAACCAGAATAAGTTTCAAGCTGCAAACGGTTAGCATTGCCCCGGGCGGATGACCAGCTTAGTTTCTGTCAGAGAATTTGCATTGGCGAGGTCGTCGGGCACCAAACTTCCTAGCACGAGAGACCCCGCCATTTTAAGCCCCTGTCCTTGAGGGAACAATGTATAGTCTTATAGTGTTGTTTGCTGCTGTCATGCGGGAGAGAAAGATGCCAGCTGCATTGGTGGTGTCTCAAAGCTGCATGGGTTGAAGAGATCGCCATTTCTTACTATTTTGGTCAAGGTCTTCAAAGGTGATCGCCTTTTATTTGACCGTCCTTGCAAGGGAGTCAAGCAAGCCAGATAGACTCTGCCTTTTTCCATGGCGAGCTGGAGGTTACTTTTCTGCTGATTGTAAACATTGCAGATGACTCGGATGGGTATAGGTCAAAATTGAATGACCAGCAAATTCGCCGGGTTTTTGTCCTTGTTCAGTGCTGGGGTTCCTTATTTTGAGTACCAATGTTTGACGCACCGCACGATGAGTCTCGCGTCTTCGCTCAGGCGCTGCTGAGTTGCTACACCATGCTCTTGGCCCGTGAGCACCCCTCGCTGTCCATCAGCTGCATCTCGCCAGGCTGAGTTCGACGTTAGCCCAGGCCGCCTAGCCCCTAAGAAGCGTTCTAAGAACGTTCTAAGAGCCCACTTTGGGCTAGGGGACTGGTGATTCCATAGGATAGATGTGTGTTGCAGTGCCCAAGTTAGACTCTAGTCACTTGGGAAGACGAACCAAAGCCGGAAAAATATCTTGCCATGGCAGTTTTCGGATGAACAGAAGGAACCCAATCCCAGCAGCTTTCTTGAATGATGGCCTTTTCGGATCCATCATTTTTTGCCAACATCCGGCAATTCTGCCATCTCCGGGTGTTTTTTTTTTCTTCTGAAAGCCCGGCACATCATGCTTCTCACATGGGCGACATGGTATCAGAGAAGCATGTTCCAGTTATGATTCGTTGCAACCACGAAGAATCACCTGTGGAAGTGTTGGCAGAAACGCCTTGGCTTAGCTGTATTGCATGCCTTCGCATGGGCGGCCATGCGCCGAAATTTGTGGCAAAGAGAAGCCGGAGGCCCTGACATTTCCGGGCTAGCCAAAGGCACACCTAACCCCCTGCTTACCAGTTTTCGACACGTGACTGCCCATGCTCGAACCATTTGTTTGGGCTAAAAGGGAACCCCATTATTACCCAATGTCTTACCCATGTATACCAGGCCCACTTTATTACCCATTTGTCGCTCATGCTTAGCTATTGTTGTCCGCTCATGACCCATGTTTGACTTAAAACCCATCCTTGCTCCCCATCCGGCAGCCACGCACACTCATGACCCATGTTCGACATACGTTTAACCCATTTTTCACCATCTTCACACCCCATCCGGCAGGCTTCATACCTATTGTTGCCCACTCATGACCCATGTTTGACACATGTTTCACCCATTTTTCGCCCATTGACTCCCAATCCATACCACCCACCTACCCATGTTTGACACAGATCCCATCCATATCCATGCACCTTTTCCGGCAGGCTTCATCGACACCGGCATGACCTCGGGCATGGGCGCCAGCAAGTCTCCGGAGGAGGGCACCGTCTCGATTCGGCATTGCCTCTTCGAGAAGTTGCCGGGCAACGGCTGGCCTCTCGGCGCTCCCGAGGGATGCGAGGGATTCGGAAGGGAATAGTGGAAAACAAGCTTCCAATCCCAGCTCAAACTGGTTTGAATTGCGAACTAGGGGGTTTGACGCCCGCAGTCTTCTGGCCTGAGTCTTTTTTGGAAAATTGGGAAAACCCCAAACTTCCAATCCAATCGAAACCACCAGCTGCAAACATGCTGCTGATTGTGTCTTGCCTTCGTGCTGTCCTGTTTCTCCTTG